AGCCTAAAACTACTTGTGTGACGAGGTATGGGGCTTTTGAATTCCTCGTGATGCCTTTTGGATTAACGAATGCCCCTGCCACGTTCTGTACTATGATGAATCAGGTCTTTCACGAATATCTCGATCAGTTTGTGGTAGGTAGTCTATCTAGACGATATAGTGGTATACAGTCCGACGCTGAAAGAACACCAGATCCATCTCAGGTTGGTCTTCGACAAACTAAGGCAGAATCAGTTATACGTAAAGAAGGAAAAGTGTGCGTTCGCACAAAAGCGGATCACGTTCCTTGGCCACGTGATCGAACAGGGGCAAATCAGTATGGACACAGATAAGGTAAAGGCGATCCAAGAATGGAGAGTCCCTACCTCTGTGACCGAGTTGCGCTCCTTTTTAGGGTTGGCCAACTACTACCGACGATTTATCGAAGGATTCTCAAGGAGAGCCACCCCAATGACTGAGTTACTGAAGAAAGGAATGACCTGGATGTGGTCGAAGGAAAGTCAGGACGCCTTCGAAGATCTAAAGGCGGCCATGATGAAAGGCCCAGTACTTAGGCTAGCCGACGTGACGAAGCCGTTTGAAGTAGAAACGGATGCTTCAGACTACGCTTTAGGTGGTGTCCTTCTCGAAGACGGTCACCCGATCACTTACGAAAGTCGCAAGCTAAATAATGCGGAACGACGTTATACCGTATCAGAGAAAGAAATGCTAGCAGTCGTTCACTGCCTCAGGTCTTGAAGGCAGTACTTGTTGGGCTCATATTTTGTGGTAAAGACGGACAACAGTGCAATTTGCCACTTCTTCAATCAGCCTAAGCTAACATCCAAACAGCTCAGGTGGCAGGAATTGTTAGCCGAGTTTGATTTTAAGTTTGAACACAAGGCAGGAAAGTCCAACCAAGCTGCCGATGCTCTTAGCCGTAAAGGAGAACATGCGGCCCTGTGCATGTTAGCTCACATTCACACCAGCAAAGTGGACGGGTCGATCCGTGACCTCATTAGAGAATAAATTCAAAGAGACCCCTCCGCCCGAACTGTGGTCGAGCTGGCTAAGACCGGGAAGACCCGCCAGTTCTGGGTTGAAGGGGACCTATTATTTACAAGAGGAAACAGACTGTACGTGCCAAGAACGGGAGACCTGAGAAAGAAGCTCCTACATGAGTGTCACGATACWYTATGGGCTRRTCACCCGRGGTGGCAACGGACTTRYGCCTTGCTSAAAAAGGGGTACTTTTGGCCAARTATGCGGGAAGATGTGATGCAATACACGAAGACCTGTCTTATCTGTCAGCAAGATAAGGTAGAAAGGACTAAAATAGCAGGGTTGCTTGAACCCCTACCAACTCCTACGAGACCATGGGAGAGTGTGTCGYTCGACTTCATCTCTCACTTGCCCAAGGTAGGAGAAYATGAAGCCATTCTTGTCGTTATCGATCGATTTTCCAAATATGCAACTTTCATTCCGACTCCCAAGACGTGTTCCGCCGAGCTGACGGCGCAGTTGTTCTTTAAACATATAGTAAAGCTATGAGGAGTTCCGACGAGCATCGTTAGCGACAGGGATGGCCGATTTACAGGAACCTTCTGGACGAAACTTTTTTCTATTCTGGGTTCAAGCTTGAACATTTCCTCGATTTATCACTCACAGACCGATGGTCAGACAGAGATTCAACAGCATGCTTGAGGAATACCTGCGTCACTTCATCGATGCCAGACAAAAGAACTGGGTCCAGCTGTTAGATGTGGCTCAATTCTGTTTTAACGGCCAGACAAGTTCTTCAACAGGAAAGAGCCCCTTTGAGATTGTGTGCGGAAGACAACCGTCTATGCCACATATTCTTGACCACCCGTATGCGGGGAAAAGTCCTCAAGCCCACAACTTCACAAAGGAATGGAAGCAGACGACAGAAATTGCTCGAGCATATTTGGAGAAAGCTTCCAAGCATATGAAGAAATGGGCCRACCGCAAGAGACGCCCTCTCGAATTTCGAGTAGGCGACAAAGTTCTTATCAAGCTGAGGCCAGAACAGATTCGTTTCCGAGGACGCAAAGACCAGAGACTCGTGAGAAAGTAYGAGGGACCCGTGGAAGTCGTTAAGAAGGTGGGGAGTGTCTCGTATAAGGTGGTGTTACCAGCTTGGATGAAGATCCACCCGGTAATCCATGTGAGCAATTTAAAACCTTACCACCCCGACCTTGAGGAYGAYGAACGCAATGCTGTTGTGCRGCCCGMCATCGACTTCAAACGGAAGGAAGACAAAGAAGCAGAAGAGATCCTWGCAGAGAGAACCAGAAAGGTGRGGAGACCCGTTCGAAAAGTTCGAGAATTCCTCGTCAAATGGAAGGACCTACCTGATGCAGAGACCAGCTGGGAACGAGAAGAAGACCTTGAAGCCTGGAAGATGAAGATCGAGGACTTCAAGTTGCAGCAGTTGACAGGGACGTCAACCGTTTAAGTGGGGGAGAATGTTGTGGGCATGCTTGTCGAGGGTGTGTTACCCATGGCCGCATGTCCAAACCATCCTCACCACTCGCTTTCCTTTCATGTCTTTAAAGCTTTCTAGTGTAATTTTCTTGTATCGGGTTTTTGGGGTTGTAGGTGGAATTTGGCCGAGCGGCTTTGGAACTAGGTGTGTATTAGTAAGATATGTAAGCACGCCAAATTTCAAGCCAATCGGAGTTCACACGGGCCCTGTAGGTCACCGAGTGACTCCTTGCCACTTAGGACGTCTACACCTGCCACACCAAAAATGCCTTATAATGTACCTTAGGGGGGACCAAGTAGTCATCAAACCTCCACCTGACCAAGTGTTGTATACTTTCTTGCAATCAAAGCTTTCTTGCATCCAATGTCTACAATGCTTGTTTTAAAGATGTTTTCAACTGTTTTTTCTCTCACGTTTTCTAAAAACCAATTTTCTCCTAAAACGTGAGCGGAGGCTAGACCCACGACCGAGATTGTCCGCAACTTACAGTTTTTCCTGGCTGACTTGCTCATTTGAGCTAGAGCAAGTGCCGCACAATCGCTCGAGCTGCTTTGAAAAGGTGCGATTGTGACACGATGCAGGTATTAGATCAGATCTTCTCTGAAAAGGAGCGATTATCAGAGATTAAGCAAACGGCGATTCGGAGACAAATTACAGGTGAAAATGGATCTCATAGGACTTTTGGTGTCTGAAATTATCGAAGGGAAATTAATTTCCCTCACCGTCGAAGACAAGGAAACAGCGGCGGTGGAAGAAGATGAAGATCTTACCGCTTCGCTGATTTAGGGTTAGGGCTCAGTCCGGATGAGGGATGGCATTCATTTGTTTTGATTTTGTTTGGTTTGTACTTTGTCTCAGTTAAAAAAGTAATTTTTACTAAGCAAAAAAAAGGAAGGGCCTTTTTGTAAATTCAATGTTACATGAGTTTGTTTTGAAAGCCCTAATTTAATTTAATTGTTTTTTTAAAAAAGCTCACTTTCTCGTCTTCGCCGGATTTCATCTACTTGTTCCTCGGTTCGGGTATGTGTAATCCTTTTTACTAGCATCGATTTCTATTATCTTTACTCTTTTGGTGAATGCAACGCACCATTTATAGAATTTGGAGAACTGGGTTTTGAGAGTTGAAGAGTTTGAATCATTTCCCAGTATTTGAATCATTAGGTATGTCGTCCGTTCATTCGGTCTGATTGAATCCAGAGCATCTCTATATTCAACAATTTTTTATATTCTTTTTGGTTATTAAGGTTTGGATTTCCTGAATCTCTCGTTTCATCATGGATACTGTGTCTAACAAATAGATTTGATTTGATGCTTGTTTATTTGTTTCTTAAACATCTGAGCTTTTCTGCATTTCTTCCATTTTAGTTTATTTCCTGAACCTTGGTAATTGATTTTTTGTCTCCCTGTTGCAAAAAATAAAGATGGCTTTGCGAGGCGTATGGCAGCTTCAGAAGCTGATTGTCAGCTATTGTGACTGGGGAGGAAGCAGTAGGGGTATCAGGTTTGTTGAATTTTCACCTGAAAATTCTTTGTATTTCCAGCATGATTATTTCGCACTCATCTTGCTTTGTTTCAGCTTACTATGTTAAAGCTTGAATCAGGTAAAAAGTAGTGGAAATTGCTTGGGTTTTTGGAAATGGGTTGTCCAAAACGGGTGGTTCCAGGATTAGGGTTCTTACATTGGAAGCTTATTTGGTTTCCTCTATTTTTTATCCAACTCAAACGTAGAACATGAGCTTAGTGACTCTCCGTAAAAGAATTATTAACATTTGGTAATGGCGTTTTAAAAGATTTAACCAAATTATAAGGCTACAATAAAACTTCTAAAATCACGGGCAAACTGAAATCAAGCTCAACACACCATATGGACTAAAATGACAATTTAACTTTATGCTTATATCTCTAATGTCACGTGTTCTGGTTTTTAAACCCAAGCTTCGAGTTTGTGTAATGTAATTTATTTTGCACGACTTGATACAATTCTGATTTTTGAATAGCTGGCAGCATAGCTTTGTCATACATTATACAAGTTGTTTTTGCTGATAAAAATTGGAAATTATTTTCTCACATATCACTTCAGTATTACAGTGCTCTATGGTAAGTACTTTGTCAACTGTCACAACTTCACGATTCGTCGTGTAGCCTTACTTTTGTACTTTAAGCAAGGAGTTAAATGTCAATGTTGGTAGTAACATTAAGGTCTCAGATTTTATAATAATGTAATTCTTAGCAATTCTTTATAAATGAGTTTTAGATTTTAACAAATGTATAAAGAGGGAGAATATACAAGTTTGAACAAGAAAAGTGATCATAATAAATTCCTTGTAAAAGTAATGCTCACTGTTAGCTGCCCCTAATATGTTTGGAATTTTCTTATACAAAATCTACAAATTTGGAATTATGATTAAAGGTATTCTGAATCATGCATCAGATGTCATTGGCTGCCCCTAATATGTTAGGAATTTTCTTATACAAAATCTAAAAATTTGGAGTTACAAGTAAAGATATTCTGCATCATGCATGTTCTATATGTCAAATATAAGTGCACTTTCTTAGTTATCCATCTTTGGATGTCATGGTGGAGATTTGTCTCTTAACTTGGATCTGTTATCCTCTTAAACCGTGACATTGAAGCTAAATAGTATCAGGTAGATGGTCATTTTATACCTATAATTTAAACAAGGATTCACTGATGCCAATTCTATTCTTCTAAGCGTGCTATTAGGAATATCATAAGAAAAGTGGACCCATACAAATCACGGCTTTTATCTTGAATATATTATTGATCAACCCGGTGAACTAACAATTTCATCATCACTACAGAAACAAATTTCTTTAGCCCTTTTTCTGTGAAACAAAGCCAAGCCTTTTCGGCCCACCTTCCATCCTGCTTTTGCTGGTTTTAGCCATGGTCTACACAATAGTGCTTTATACCCTCTTAGCAAATTTGCTACCATGGATGAATAAAATAGTATTACATCCAGCTATCGTTTACAGCGATATAAGATACTGATTCACATGGGAGAGATATATTCTGACTAATTTGTATATCATCTTTGATGTGGCAGGGCATTTATGGACTCACAATTGCCAGCTTTTAAGGAGAAAAATCCTCAGCTAGAAGTAGTTACTGAACTCATTCGTGGCCAGCATCCACACTTGAAGGCCTTCTACAGTAATGCTCCCTCCCTCTCTCAACCTTCTCTAGGGTTATAGTTTACAAAGTGTTTTAGCAGGGGTTTTCTCATGTTTCAACACCTTCACAGAAAACAACAATGAACGTGTTGTTTGTGTAAAGAATTTGGATCCAGAAGAAATCAATTTGCACGCCGTAAGACTAAGGAATGCACTGGGACGAAAGGTCATAAAACTGAGGACCAGACATGTAACAAAAAATCCTAGCGTGCAAGGTACGTGGAACACGGATGTTAGATTTTGAGGCTTGGATGAGTGATAAAGAGCTTTGATTACTGTCTGGGGTTACTTTTTCATCAACAATAAGATGTTGAAATCAAATTTCTCTATAGAATTGCTTTGCGTTTGCAGTTGTAGTATTCCATATAATTTGCTTGAGTTGCTACTTCTCCAATGCTCTGAATATACTCTCACTCTTTCAATGGAGAAAATCTTTTCATGAAACATGCTTCATCTTTTAGAATCCATGAAGCAAAACAGGATTTTGATTTGGTTAAGTTAATTTCTAGGTATTAATAGATTGTTCAGAACAGCATGTACTTGTTAAGATTTTTCAAGTTTAATTGAATTTAAATTTCTCGAGCAAATGCTGCATCTATTCTGAGAGTAATATACAAGTACATCAAAAAAAAAGGTAGAAAATTCTTTACCTTAAATGCTAAATTTATCTTTTCATGGACATTTCTTACTCAAAATTATCATATTCCAGAGTAACAAGTGCTTTTGAAAATGATCAAAAGTACTTCCTCTTGAAAGTATTACGCCCTAGACATTAAAATTTACATGTTTTATGGGCAGTAATGACGATTTGATCCAAAGTATGCATCCCAAACTCTAATGGTTTAGTAACTTCTACTTCAATGGTCTCAGTTTCCTCACAAAAGCCCTCTATGACAAAGCAGTTAACCCACATCCAGTTCACTTAGTTTAAACTACACGTTTACTGCAGATAAATTTAATCCATTTCTGGGAAAATTGGGACTTTTTACCCCATTTCAAAACGCTCTTATTTGTGACCCGTCATTGAAATTTGGAAATACTCTTAAGGTTCAAACTGGTTTGACTCACAATCTCCTCTTCAACATTTTTCACTCTTCTCTATCTTGGACACAAAATCGGACAGAGTATGACTTATAAAAACTCCAACTTTTTAATTTGATTGTGAACAAAAAATCTCACGAATCTAATATTGACAAAATCTATAAAAAAAAAATGGTTGAAATTATTAAATATTTAATCATTCAAGATTGCATAAATGCCCATATTTAATTAGAAATAATGAAAATTCCATGAATCCTAGACCAATATTGCATAAATGTGAGGGACTTGATTAAAAAAAAGTCAAAATTTCATAAATCTCAGGTTCGGGATCTAATTTTAAAAAGTGCCAAGATTGCATAAATGTCAAGATAATTAAGAAAAAACTCAAAATTGCATGAATCCCAGAGTTGAGCTGAGTATCTCGAAATTGCATGCTCCACTGTAGATCTAATTTTGGTTGATTTGTAGAGTTAAGTATTCTTTCAAAGGGGGAAAAAAAAAAGACTTCATTTCAATTTTGCTTTTTCTCGAGTGAATATATCAGTTCAGCATCATTTTTGGCCAAAATCCAATCCAGAACTAAACCAAACAGGAAAGTACTTTGTAATTAAACACTTCTTAAAGTAGTTTTCTAAAAATCACTCCACAATACATTATCAAAATTATTTGCAGAGTGCCAACAGACGAAACTATCATATATGCAGCTAAAGATCACTGACCTTAACGTTAAAACCATACAGGCATGATGAATAATAACTCAACTGTAAAGCCTTTTATCAAATTCAAATTTTTTTCTCAAAATTTTTTAAGGATTGATTGAATCTATCTAAAGTCTCCCTTCGCTGTCCACCCGAATCCGACATTGAAGGGCATTTTTGAGAAAGCCAAGTCTCAACTCAAAGCTCCACGTGCAAATTCTAGTATACATGGAAGCCACTGAATTTCTATGTTGTATCAGCAGCTTCGCCCGCCTTTTTCTCCTTTTGTTTCTCCCTTTTCTTCTTGTTTCGCAACGCATTCTTGCTCATCGTTCTACATTTAACTCACGAATTTGGTTAGTCCCACAATTTGGCCTGTTGAAGAATACAATAAACGAAACAACATACAGATAATGAATGTACTTACTCTTTAGGGCTTTCTCCAAGCAACTGCATTACAAAAAAGTTTGCTTATAAGATCTTGAATTGGAAAGCTCCAAACCTAATCATAATTTCTTTTCACTGGAATGAAAAGGGAGAGGAACCCAAAAATCGGTACCTCTGCCTGAATAGCAGCAGCATTTTTTGCATGTGGGGGGCGATAAGCAGCAGGCTTCTGAACAGGAGGGTTCGAAGGAGCAGTTTTCTGCGATGATTGTGAGGATTTCGACCCTTGCCCTGGATTTGGAAAACAACTAACTGCTCAATTGGACACTAGATAGAAACATAAGCAGGAAGATTTGATAGCAGTTTCAAGATGGAACCTTGTGTTTTCTTTGGTTCAACATTTAGTGATTCTACTGACTTGACTAGTTGGTCAATTTCACCAAACTTATCCGGCAACTCTGGCTTCCAATCGGCCTGCATAAAGAGTTCGCATGAGGAAAAAAGGAGCAAACATGTTGGACGTCTTTCAAAATGAAAGGCAGACAACACTTACCTGAAACAACTTGTCAAACATTTGCTTGAAGTATAAAGATCCATTGCAGTGGAAAATTTTTATCCTATACAAGGAAAACCGTGATACTAACTTAAGGCTGGCCACCAAGAATATTGAACGGGTGGAAATTGGAAATTTGAATGTCTTAAAAGTCAGCAAATATATATCATACTCGAAAAAAGATCACACAGTTATATATAATCTTCGATAGTTGATTATACAAGTTGCCAACTTAAACATCATCAGTTTTTAAGGGTTTCACTTTACAACAAAAAAATTAATAGATAAAAATTTATTTGCAAATAAGAACTTTTTGAAATTAGTTTTCAGTATATAGGAAGTTTTACACAGAAAGGTTCAATGTATAAAATTTGCATACCCATTGTCGACTTGTAGTCTTGGAGCTGTCGTGGCAGTCATGAAATAGCGTCCATCAGGGGACCATTCACTGGTAACAGAACATTCGGCTTTTGTTGTTCCGAGCTGCTTTTTCTCCTTGTAGTCCCAAAATGCCTGTTAAGGGTGATTGCAAGCAGAAGAAATCATTAATATGAGAATAAAATGTGCTTATCATTTTCTTATGTCTTGCGGGGATGAGAAAAGGCAAGAGCAAAATAATATATTATCAGTGCAGACGTGACATTCACATACTCAAAGAGAAACTTATTAACTTTAGTTTCCTGTAATATGAACTCTCATTTCCCCTTCATAATTTGGGGCATAATGTTATTTTTTGGAAAAGAAAAAAAAAATGACACCGTTCTATTGTTTGGGATAAGAATATATTCATTGAAAGGAACGCAATATTCAATATATGAAAATTGGCATCTCTGAATGTAGTCAGTCTTGGCTTGGAGGTGCATGTTCGACACACTTCCCATAATAAAAAGAAAATGAAATATTTTAACCAATGCAAATTTTCAGAAGAAGTCTGAACCTGGTATAGTTTTCAGCCAGAAAAAAAAAGGGAATAAGGGAAGGAATTAAAAAAAAAAAAAAATCTCCATTGATTTTACAAGTGTATAAAGGTTGATGAATTGAAAAGGACTTAAAGTTGATCGAATTAGACCCTGAGGTGAGACGTACCATAAAGAAAAGAAGCAGCCTTTTTATAATTTCATGCAACACATATGTAATAGATCAAACAGAAAGTACAAAGCATCAAAGTAACATGCCATGTCACCAGGTAGATTACCAAAGCCAGCTAAACACAAACAGAAAGTACAAAGCATCAAAGTAACATACCATGTCACCAGGAAGATTACCAAAGCCAGCTAAACATAGTACTGCAGGCCAAAGAATTAAGGTCACAAATCCTTTAAATTTATATTTATGCTAGACTTGAGATTATATGGTCAAAAGAACATTAATGAACTCCAGAATAGTTCCTCCACAAGCATAACATATTCTGAAGATGAAACCAGATAACATTCCAAATAGGATACATTTCCCCTTCGGATTCCATCGTATGGTATTATAGGGGCCTTCTCCAAGCTCAAGAAGAGGCTTGCACTTCTTGTCAAATACTGTTGCTCTTGCAGGCATAACTATTTTTTTCGTCAAGGAACCACAAGTGGAGGGAAAGAGAAGTCATATAGCTGGTAAGAAGTAAAGTACAAGAACAAGGACATAACCCAACCTACAACAAGATGTTTATCTAGTATCTACATTAACTTTTACTATATACGAGGTCTTTAGGAATCTATTGTTGGATTTACAACGAGTTGCATGTGAACTTTTGGTGTTGAAGAAACCACAAAGTAGAAAAGACATCCATGGTACATTACACCTTCATGGTTTCAAATAAATATAAAATAGAAGAAGCAATATCCAACAGATTTACTAATCTAGTTCCATTGGGTTAGTTTGTCTTAGAATATTCAACCATTCCACTTAGAACACAACAAACCACATCACTCATGGAGATAAAAAACACCCAGCGAACTAAAACTGAGTTCGCTTAAGATTTGAAATCCTACAAGTTTCATTAGGAATCTTTCAAATGTAATAAGGTTAGCGGTTATCTGGGGAGATTATTTGAGGTGTGCACACAGATACTTACAAATATCAAAGGAAAAACCAAAAAATAAAAAATAAGAAAAGGCAAAAACCAAGTTCATTATAATATTAGGTAAAGTAGTCTGGCCCAAGTAAGCCAGATGCCAGTGACCAATGATGTCCTAGCCTATGATGTGTATCATTAGAACAGAGTTTTCAATTTCAAACTGCAACCTACTAACGAAAGATAACATGAAACCCCCTTCTGCAGTATGGTATAATAATAGGATACATCCATATACTACTGCGAACTCTGAACCACTCTGTGACCACTGCACATCATGAACTGGCCCTTCTTTACCTGCCAAATTACTTGACAATCAGTTCTCTCTCACTCTGGAAAATTCGGAAAATTCTATGTTGGTAATTCTAATTGAAGATATTAAATGCACTGTAGTTGATATTTGAAGAAAAGGAACTTAGTACTTACGAAGTGGTACAAGTCCTTCGTGAACCCCATCTGTTGTCAAGTAGTTTAACTTTGATTCACCATAATAACTCTGGTTAGTTTTATCAACATCTGCTTGCACAACAACTAGAAGTCCAGTAGAACCGTTATTCCAATTTAGTTGCACTGTCGAACATCGAAAAAAACTTCGCCTAGCAATCGGCTGAGTTTGTGAATCTCCACAAGCAAAGATTTGGATACTGGCAGGAACCCCCTGCATAAATATAAAACAATAAACCACCCAAATGGTTGAATTTTTTAATCTCCATGGGCAGAGCTCATTAGTGAAGGACCAACCTTAGATTCAGGAACAAAGGCTGCAATGTGGGTTCCAGGCGTCCTCGAGAGTTCAATTGCAGTCACCCCCGGAACTCTTAGCCGATAGACAACTCCTTTAGAGAAATCTTTAGCATCAAAAAACTGTATCTCATTAGTAGCCATCCGACAGGCAACAGTTTCATCAGAGCTGAATCGAATTGCAGGCCTAGAGGAAGAAGAGCGTCTAAAATTGTAAATATAATGAAAAGAACAAACATTAAGAAGCCAAATAGACACCACGAAACACAAGTTCAATAACCCACAAAGGAACCAAAGAATTACAAGCCGCATATGAGAAAGCCTAAGCCTCAGCTATCAATCTACCAAAAAAGATGGTCTGAAAGACAAGACAACGCTCACCATGACACTTTTGTCATATTCTTCTGAAACTGAGAGTACACAAGATCACCAGTAGCAGCCTTCCACAGAACAACATTCTTCTCCTGAGGCGTTGAAGATTTCTGGAAGGTCTGGAGATAAGTCCCACACGGTGACAAGGTAGCCGCAAGCAAGTTGGGTACTTCAAAAGATTTAATCTCTCGGAAATCGCGGCATTCGTAGATGCTCACAGTTTCGGACTTGGTAACCAATAATTTGGATCCGTCTTCACTGAATTTTGTAGTCGTGCAAGCAACCCTTTGTAGCTTGTTGGCACTGGGCTGGTTGTCGATGAATGGGGGGCCATTCCAGATTGAGAAACCTTCCGATCCTCGAACTGGCAGGAAGTTGACGATAAGGATATTGTAAGAGCAAAAATGACCAAAAAGAAACCCCAAAACCCCAAAAAAGAAAAAGAATTACCCAAAATCTCCAAAGCCGGTGGATGTTCGGAGGTAGCCATGGAAATCAAAGACGAATTTTGATATGGATTTGAAGGTTATTGACAGTAGACGAAATTCCTGCAAATAGTTCAGTTCGGCGACCCAACGGAGGGGCAGAGCCGAAAAGAGAAGGGTGTCAATCAGGGCTGATGAATTTACACATTTCCGGAGAAAATTACTCCATAATTCATTTTCAGGTTTTTATTTATTTATTTATTAAAGTATGACTTAAATATTAAATCGAACCATCAAGCTTTTAGATAATAAGCTATCCTCGATGTGGGTATACCTTGGTTGAATTTGAGGGATGGGGGATCCACCTTGTAATTTCATGATTGGAGATATATATCAATTACCGATGAATTATAGTCGCCTTGATCATCATATAATGCTTTAATTGATCATATACTTGACGGTTAAATTTTAAAATAATGACATTTTAAAAAGAAATTACAAAAATAATGTTAATTTAAAAATAATAACTAAATAAATGTAAATTAAATAAATAAATACAAAAGTAACTTAGGTTTTTGAAACCATTGACAAAAATAGGTTAGGTCAAAGGAGGGGTCAAAACTCGCATACAATGGACGCTACTTTCGTGCAACGTGTATTGTCTATGTGGCGAGTGGGTTGTCGTTGACGTGGAAGTCGCGTACATCGCCTGCGACTTCCACATATTTTCCTTTTTTTTTCCGCTAAAGTCACAGCTGTTGGCTACACATGGAGCCACGTCAAACCGAAGTCGCAGCCGTTAGTGGAATCACGGCCTAGGACCGCGATTTCGTCCTAAATTGCAGTCGACGGCCGCGATTTGGTGAAATCGCAGCAACGGCTGCGATTTACCTACCCTATTTTTGGAATTATTTTTGGAATTACCTGCCCTTTGTCATTTGTTTTTAAAAAAGTAATTATTTTTTAAAAAATTCCTATACTTGCTTAGTTGATATTATAACGGAAATACAAGTTTATAAAAATAAATATTATTGATAGGGGATACTCATCTTTTATTAATTTTTTATTCTTACAAGTAGGAAAAAAAATAGAAAATGAGATTATTTTTACTTTTTAAAAAATAAAAAAGCTATCAAAATTTTATTGGTAGTCAGCACAATGAGTACTCACGGTTAAAGTATTGTTTTTTTTTTTAATTCAACATTTGAGTATTGATAACATTTGAGTATTGGTAGTCAACAAGAAAATGAGTACGAAAATGAGTATTGTTCAAATAGATGATAAACACTTAATCTGTTAAACTATACCTGAATTGGTGTGGGATAAGAATTTGAACGGATGACTTTTAGAGAAACAAATATATAAATACTTTAACTAAACTATATTCGAGTAGAACTAAGAGTAGTTTGAATTATGCTTATAAACCAATCTTAACATAAGTTAGTAGTTATTTATACTTTCAAAGATAGTAAGTCTCATCTCTATAATTATAATGTAATATTCTAAGAAAAAAAAAACTAAATAAATTATTTTCCTCCATGGGATCTAAAAATATAAATAAAATTTGTTTATTTATATAAAATTGTGTAGGGTAGAAAAAATAATCTAGTATGCTGGTCTATAGTCATCTTAGTTTGAAAATTACTAACATGAGGTGCTTAAGCCTTCCTTCCTAGGTTAAAAATTAGGTAATTTGTAATCGGTGGTAAACGGTTCAACTATATTTGCAACTATGAAATTTTTATTTTCAGAATTTTTATAATTTCAATTTTACCCTTCATCAGCACATACATATTGCAGATATATTAGAAATATATTAGAGTTATATCATAATCAAATAATCATATCAGACATATATCAGTGGCATAACAACAGTATATCAGCACACAAATATCCTAGTTATATCAACATGGTAGATCAAATGTAAAACAATGATGCAGATCAACACATACATATAGTAGGTATATCAGAAGTATATAATAGGTATATAAGTCAAGCATGGGGAACGAATTCCAAATTCGAAAATTACCGAATCACTCATTTCCTAATAAAAAAGGGTGGAAACGACACAGAATATTATCAACAAATTGGTAAATATAAGATTAAATACAAAGTATCTTACAATCAAGTTCATTGTCATATCATTCAAAATCTAAAGCAAATTGTATTGTAATATGAACATAAAAATCTAGCAGGCATTATATTAAATACAAGTTTTCATTCCATAAATCTTTAATTCAAAACTAGGTTGATCATTATCAATCCTCTTTCTCGGGGATCGTCATGTCTTAACTTTTTGTTTTTATAAAGACAATACCTTTAATGTTGGTTTAATCTGTCTTTTTAAACATGCATGGTCCACATCAACCTTGTCTACATTAATTTTAGCTTTCTTTTTTCTTGTTTGCATCCTTGTTTCAACCTGAAAAAAAATAAAATTAGTAGATATATTAGTAAATTGATGGTATATCGATGATAAATCAAATAGTAATATTTCATAAGGTAAATCAATAGTAAATAATGTGTAAATCAATAAGGTAGATCAGGACATACATATTAAAAGTATATTAGAGGTATATCAGAATCAGATAGATAGATAGATAGATAGATATATATATATATATATATATATATTTATTTATTTATTTATTTATTTATTTATTTATTTATTGGCTATAATTGCAAGTACCTCTAAAAATTACTAACATTATTTTTGTATGACAAAATATAAACCATATTGGTGGATATTGTTCATCAACGTTCATAGGAATAATGATAACATAACTTTTTACCTATGCTCACCAATTCATTAAGAAAATATCAAAAGAATTATCTTTCAAGTGTGACATGAATCTGATAATATTTTGGTCGGTTCAAAGTCGTAATTTCCATAAAATAAAAATAAAAAATCTAACCATAGTTGTCTTGTTTCTTGATTTATCTTGAATTATGAATTGTAACTTTTTTTTTTTAATGATAGTCAAAAGCAACACCAAAATCTATAATGTTTCAATATGATATTACAGTAGTAGAAAACAAATTTATAAAGCTTTTCGTAAAAGTTAGGTTTTTTTTTCATATATATAAGATCATAATATTTAGACAATTAACTACATTTCAACTATTTCATCTTTATTGGAATTATCATATGAATCTTTTAAGGATAATTTCATTAAATAATATTTATTAATACATAAAAATAATATACAATTAAATAGTCATTGTGCACTTAACTCAGCGATTAGAGCATCTTAGAAGTTCAACCATCTATTCTCACATTTTGTTGTATTAAAAAAAAAAACAATATAAAATTAAATCATAAACAAATTTTACATAAATATTTTAATTCGACAATTAATTTAATTCATTAAACTTTATTTTTGTTGATAACAAAATAAAACTAAAAAATTTTCCTTGCGAGTCGCATATGTTACGATTAATTCCTACTAGGAATATTTTTTTTTCATGACCTTCTCATCAAAGATAGGTGTCTTAACCATTTGAACTATGATTTGGCACCGACTGTTTTTTGTGTTAGAGTTTAATTCTGAATAACAAATAAGAAGAAGAAAATTTAGGGCTGAAAAAATTCAAAAAACAGAAAGAAGAGGGGCTAAAGGATTAGCTACTGGATTCCGTGGGATGACACTACAAATAACTCGTGTTTCAATATCACTTTCAGTTTTTATAAAAACCCATTTAAATTTTTACCCATATTTTAGAAACTACTAGTTTTCAAATTTTTACTTAAATTTCAAAATATTTTTGAAAACTAGAGAACTAAAATAGAGAGACATAAGTGTTATAATGAAACCTTAGCAACTTATAATCATTAAAATTAAAACCTAACTCAGATCCAATTATGCATTTCATTTTCATAACAAGAAAAAATGTCCAAATTACTGAAAATTTAGGCACTATAGGCATCTATTGTTTTCATTCAATCTATGATATTCAAACCCACTAATTAGATTCATAATATTCCATCACTTCACAAGCCAAAAACTTGAAGTTCCATACAATACAAGGCTTAAGATTTGACCAAGTGTACAAGATAATGAACTTTTCCTATTAATACCAACAATTTGTAGGCATCAAGTTTTAGGCAGGTAACAAAATGCTACTCTACAACCATGAATTTCTAATTTGGGATCATCATACAATTCGTTTACAATATACATATTTCCACCACTTAATACACCAAAATACACTCCTGCCATATACTATGCCCCCCACCCAGTTTAAAACTAGAATGGTGAGGAGATGTAGAACTTGGAATCCGAAGATTCGACTATTTTTTCGTTACAGAATTACATATTCCAAGCGACGTTCTAAATTATTCGATACGATTCAGCTACTTCAGAGGGAAAATTGTCATAAATTAGATATGCAGATGAGTTACCTTTTTTACCAACCGTATGTTGCAGCTTCAGAACCATTCGGCTGCTTGAGAGCTAATGATTTGAGGTCAATTGAACGGTGAGATGGCCTTCTCAAATTTGGGGGAAGTAGTCTTCACAGGAGCCCAAATATCTGCACCGTTGCTGCGTGCAACTCCGGCAGTACAAGAGATTGGAACAAGACATAAACCTCGGTTTCTCAGGCTGTGGCTGTATGGCTCCAGCTCCTAACAAAAACGGATATAAACGTCACGGTACTGTTCAGAAAGATTGACATCTGAATGTAAGATCATCACTTGGTCTTGAATCCAGTTGACAAAGCAGCCAAAAAATTCATGGCAAAATCATCAGAGGTCCAACCTATTATGCTTACCTGCAACTGAACTGTGGGTGTGCTTTGGAGATATGGAGCGCTCAACACCTGAAACACACCAAAAGAGCATTAAGGAAACCATAATATAACTTGATAGTTCTACAATACAGATACACAAGAATAAAGTACATTGGAAATGGCAGTAAAATTTTCATCTGTCACAAAGATCAATCCTGGTGGATGTCACTTAATTTTTCTCTCTGTTCTAGTTTAATTTTCATCTATATCATTTAGTTTAATGGAATTGAATGATAAACAAATCAATTATTGAAAATCAGGCAGACATGAACTGTGGTCACCAACATTCTCTTATATATACAACTTCTCAATAATAGTCTTTAAGAAGAGAGAATCAAAACTAGTTGCACAACTATTAATAGATACAGACTACGTTCCATTGCTGATGAGAGAAAGAAAGAGTGATGGAAGAAAAAAGGAACAGAACGACTAAATACCTAAAAACAGAAATAGGAATACAAGAATACTTAAGCAAACAAAGTCCAAAGAGGGGGAGAGAGAAATGAACCACACTGAATATCGTATCTAAAATATTACACCAAAGATCAAATGAATTTTTTTACCGTTAATTAATGGCTGAAAAGAATTTGCATTCAAGTACTAATCAGTGTCAAAGAAAAAATATGGAAAGCGAAATGAATGTTCTCTGCACCAATTAGAAGTATTCATGGAGGGGAAAAGAATCATGCAGGTCATAGGAAAGCTATAAGCACAACAAGATAGCCATTCGTATTTGGTGCCCAAATCAGAATACAAAAAGATCGAGATTTTAGGCAAGAAGACCATACCTTGACTTGTTCGTGAAGGAATTGGATATATTCCATTGCCTCCAGAAGAACAGATGCCGTATCTGTCTGCAGTGAAATTTTACAATTTTCATTCAAACAGGGCAATGATTTTAATACGGATAGCAAAATCTTGAAAAGCCTCATAGGTATAGTATATATAGTTAAAGTGCTAAAATAAAATTTGGCCCAGGTCTACAAGCCATCAATATTATCCTAAAATTTCAATATAAAAGATCAGTTTCTTTGAATATTTAACTTGTTCCCAACAAACCTTTCCGTATGGCGAAACAAGTTGTTGCAAGGCCACAATTCGTTCACCCAGTTTGTCTTTTCTCTCCTGTAGAAAGAGAGTATTAGAACTTGGAAACCAGGGCCAGAACATATCGTAAAGAACAAAACAAGACAATATGAGAATTTATCAAGTGGGAAAATACATCAATGTGAAGTTGGACCCAAAACAGAAACCTTAGAGGAAATAGAAAAATCAGTCTTGTGTCGTTTGGGTGTAAGAGAAGTGAGATTGCTCTCATCAACAGAGCACATGTTCCTTTTCTGTTCCATCATGGTTTCCACCTCCATCACTTCTGCCTGGACAGAGATCAAATTCAATCGATCAAGATGCAAAGAACAGGCAACTAATATTCTATGTATCAAGTCTGAATGAACTATAATTTCATTAAAAATAGAGCAAATTTTTTTAGGGGGATTAAATTTCAAAGAGGTACTAAAAAGAAATTCAATCTATAAAAGATCTTACACAACAACGAAAGTCAATTAAGGAATCCAAAACTATACAGGTAAATTCCCACAGGTTCAAGACAGGTATATTTTTAAATGCGTGGGTGCTTGTGTGTATTCACACATATATATACATATTGTTTGACCCTTTTTTTTTAACCGGAAACCAAGAAATAACAACTCCAAAAGCTTTAATTAAATGCCTTGAAATAATTGCATTCCCGTAGATTACCCAAACACTAATGCTTCATTACAGAGCTTCGTAGACAGCATGCAGATATTGTACATTAAAGTTAGAGGTTATATTATTAACAAAATGCAAGCATGATTACGGTCAGAGGTCAAACAACAACCTAAAAAAGCAATATAATATGATCCATCTAATCTATTACGTTTGCAACCATTATAAATTAATACAGACTACTAAAAGACAAAATGAATACAAGTAGACAAAAGTTCCATAGTTTACTGATGATGCCCAACATATATAATATTGAAAACAACAGGCACCATTAACAATAATAATAAGAACAGGGTAGGATCAGAGTCAGAGGGATACTATATTGAGATTAATAGGTTAATAACGACGACAGCAATATGATACAAAATAAATAAATACACACAGTTCCCACCCCAGCAATCCATCACAAATTAAGAGGATGACCAACAAATAGTTAAAAGTTGTATCTTTATCAAAAATCGGCTCTTTTTGTCGGTAGAAAAAGGTAATACAGTAAACCAAACATTACCAAACACAAGCAAAGACATGAATTCACACACAAAGTTACAACTAATGAGACCTTGGAATGATAAACGGTAAAACACCTGTAATTTTTTTCTTTTTGGTTTACTTTTTAGCAAAAGTAATGGGTTGGGTAATTGGAATCCAGAATGGTTAATTTAAACCAAACAGATGTTAGACATAATAAGGGGTGGACCCAGATACAGAACTTCTTTAAAAAAATAAAAAAAAAACAGATAAACATATTCACACCACGCATGGATTAAATTAAGAGAATATGTAATTTGCGTACAGAATCTTCCTTCCCCCATTATTTAATATCTTGAACATATCAATCCATGGCAGAAAACCAGACACTACGACCAGATTATGATAAATATTGAAACGAATACATTAAATAACAAAAACCCACAAATCAACACTAAATCTTTCACAGTTTAGCATGGACATCGATAAAGAGAAGACAAACAGAGAGTTCGGAAGTATTCACTATTTGGGAACAAGAAGACAAAATATACAGTAATAGATTCACAGTTCAAGAAGCAACCAGAAAAAAGCAAAAAAAAAAAAAAAGGAAGAAGAAAAGAAATCAAACGCAACACACACCGGAAATTTAGCGGTAGCATTGCAAAGAGAGCTCGCAATCATTTCCGACGAAGTTTTGACAAAAAAAATCTCGAAAATCCGTCCGCCGGAAAGCAAAGAGAACTACGCAAGATTTTCGATCAAAAAAAGAGAGGGGTCACTAAAATTCGCTCGAACAATCGAAGACTAGAAACGAGGCAATCGAGTTTCGCACTTCACGAAACAATCCAATCTCTCTATATTCGCCGAAACTGGAAGTTCAGAGGAATATTTGAGTGAAAATATTGAGTGAATTAGAGGAATGAAAAGTTGAAGGAATCCGCCATGGATGGAATGAGGTTCTGAGAGAGTTTCAAACTCCAGTGGGAAAGGGGAGAAGAGGGGAGTGAAGGCTTTTTGAAAGTGTTTAAATAAAAGGAGAGGAAAATAGAAAACAAATACATATTTTTTAAAAATAAAAACTTGAAAAATAAAAGATATTTGAAAATTGATTAATATTTTTGAAATTTGACAGCTAATATCCAGCCAAGACGAGAGGTGGAAGAAATATATATATATATATATATAGGCAAAATAAAGGAAGTAAAATTTGGCTCAATATGGATTGTTTTTTCTTACTCTCTATCTTTTCTTTTTCTATTTAAATATTTTGAATAAAATTGCTTCTACACACAATTAAAATTGGCTTCGAAGTTTTTTTTTTTCTTTTTTTTTTCTTTTTTTTTCCCTTTCCTTCCTTCCGGGCTCAAATATGGAATTTTACGGGGAAAGAAGGCCGATGGATCTACCATGGTATATTGTTTATTTTGGGCATAATTCTTTTTATTTCACCAAAAATGTCTTATATGAATACCAAAAATGATTTTATTTTTCTCTAACCAACATGGGAATTTGTTTGCACCTTACAAATCCAACATTAACAAGCGTCCAATATGCAAGAAGGAAATCGACTAGGACAATTTGACAATGTTAAGGATTCAAAGATATCTACAGTCTGGTTGCTTTCATCACTTATCGATTAAATCCAATTCAACCACAAATTTGGAATAGTTGAGAGATTTTGGAAATCAAAGTTTTTCTAAAACTGTCTTTGAGTTCGTCTAAAGAGGCGGGTAACAAACTTGAATACTCATTGATTTTGTAGCTCTAAACAAACCTTTTAGATTTTGAAGGAGTTGCACTCAAAATCTCATTCGGGCGAGTAAGGAGTAAGGAGTTGCACTCATCTCATTCGGGGTTTGAGGGTGTTGGGTTTGTATAGGGACAAACAAAATTTCACATTGACTTGATCATGAGTATATAAGAGATGAAAATTATATTCATTGGTACGAGGCCTTTTAGGTATAACTAAAAGTAAATTCGTGAAGACTATGTCCAAAACGGACAATATCATACCATTGTCCTTTTATGGGAGGCCTCTCTTAATCACCTTCCAACTAATTCTACTTTACAAAAGAAGTGGTTAGAGATTTTACCATTTTGTGCCTTTTGTCCTTGGAAGTCGGTGAGTGCGGCTCACTCAATTTTCCACTACAAGCATGCCCGCCGTCCCTTCGGTGATCGTTCCCTCTGACCCGCATTTGCACTTCACAGAAATTTGGAATGAGTTTCAGGCTCACCTTAATACACAGAGGAAAGAGAGCTTGCTGCTACCGCCTGTTGGGCGATTTGGTCTGATCGAAACTTCAATCTTTAGTCAAAGCACCTCCCTTCCTTGGAGGATAAATGCAAATGGATCACAAACTATGTAAACGCTTACCGTTCTGCACAGGCATCGCAGGTATCAAAGGCTCTTCCGAGTGCTGTTCGTCGTGACGCTAATGCCACCCCTTGCCGCTGGATTCCCCCACCTGTTGAGTTCCTCAAACTGAATGTGGACGGGACATGCAACAACAGTCTTGCTTCGATTAGATATCGTTTTACTGATTTAGCTACTCACAATTGGGTCTCCAATTTTCCTATGTGGCTTTTACATATTATTCAGGGTTCTTCCCCGTCAAATGTAGTCCATGTGTCAGATTCTTTTCAATAAATTGATCTCTTCTTCTTAAAAAAAAAATATCTGTTAGTACGTTATTTAGTATCTTTCTTTTGTTCAACAAAAACTAAGTGTAAAGTGACTTCATTCTAGACTTCACCGTTGATTAATAGGGTTTAAGAATTAATATTGTTAATACAGACACACCCTAGAAAAGTTACAAATGAAGATACATTAACGACTTGTATAAGAGAACATATTTATATGTTATTTTTCTATAAATTCACTAAAATGAAGAAATACGATTCCTATGTGTAAGGTCATATTTTATTTTATTTACATATGTGAGAATGATTTAGATAATTCATTTAAGAAGTCTATTCTATTGAGGACATGACTGAGTAGGGAATTGATAATATAATTAATAGGAATAAAAATATATATTCCATATTGGAAGTCTTTAATTTCTAAATAATTTAGTGATTAATAATTTAATAAAAAGAAATTGGAAGGAACCTTATGCATTTGATATTAGTAGTTCCAATTATCCAAAATTAATTAGGTTTAATTATGTCACGAGTTCATGGGTTCGAACTACTACACCTATATTTTGTATTTCTTATGTTAAAGATCCTGATTTTCATACCCACAATTTTTCTCCTAAAAATATAAATTTAACTTTTAAAATTACATAAATCAAACTAAAATCAAAGTTTTATTGTTGCGACCAATAGAAATATCGAAGATTGAATTCCATGAAAATGTCAACTGAGATATCGATAAAATATCTATGTTGATGAATATTAATAGAAATGTTATAAAAAAATTTCATAAATATTTAAATTAACAAATAAATATGTCTTCATTTCTGAATAAGTCAAAGATTACTAGTATTAGTGTTATGTCCATATTAACGATATATTGTTGAGATTTTTATATTTTATCGATTTTTTATAATATTGAGTGAAAATGTCGATTCACCCGTGATGTCGGACTCATCGACATAGGAAAGGTCGATACAAATTTAATATTTCAATAAGAGATGAAATTAGTAATTTAACCATTAATATACTATTATCATTATTGACCTTTTTTATGGTTTTTTTGCTAAATATGAATTGATACAAATAAAATTTAATTATGAGTTGAAAGAAAAAAAAGAAAAAAGTGAAGACCCAGACGGTGGGTTCGGTTAAGCCCAAGATAGACGTCGAAATAATGAGATAATAAAATAAATTTGTTGAATTTCTTCTCTCTCTTTTTTTTTTTTTAAAATTTCTTCTGTTTTGCTTGACAAATTCTACTTACTGATCTGATGTTTTATCTAACCCAACTGCATAGTCTGAACGAAAGTAATTAACAGGAGAGGTTATTTTGAAAAGTATGAGTAAATAAACGCAAGGTTTGAAACTAGTATAATAGTTCAGTGGATACGATATTTATTACTTTCTCTTACAATAAAAAACGACCTATCACATCACAAAATGAGATACGTGCTTGATAGTTGAGGTACTAAATCTTAATAATGATTAATCCGGCCTATATCTTCGTATTTAGATTCAACCTAAGAAAATGCTAGACATGAAGATAATAAAATAACTTTGTAATTCCTATTTAACTTCCAACCCACCTGATTATTAAATTTACGTCAAGATCAATCACGCATCCTGCAAAATGGTCGATGAGTAATTGGACCCACTATCTTACACCTATAAATGTAGAAATTGACTTCAGGCGCAGGTATGTGAGTTTGATTGTCCATCTTTAGATAAATAAATTAGAATGTGACTAATTTGAGAATCGAAGTGTTTACCTCTCTATTACAGATTTTTCTTGCACTTTCTAGTCACACCTCCAAATGATTATGATTCGATAAAAATATCTTCCATAAAATTATAAGTGCGGTCCGTCTTCTCTTCATTTATTGAACTAAAAGAAAAAGAAAAAGAAGGCAAGGATGAAAATCATAATAAAATTTTTCAAAAAAGAAGGGAGAGAAAAATGTTTAGAGGTGGTTTGGTGTATTTTTAAAAATATTTTTTTAAAATATACCATTTATCTTTGTACTTTCGTACGAGTAATGATTTAGTTCTAGTAACGATTTAATTTTTGTGTAATTAAGTCCTTCACCTATGTACTCCTTAGGCCCTATGTACTGAAATGTGATAACAAGAGATTAATACTTTACCTTAACAAGATTTTTCATAGTAGTCCATGTTTTTAACCAAAATATTTTTAATATACTATTGCTTAAAATAACCTTTTTTTTTAATTTTAATAAATGTTTGAAAAGATAATTTAATTTATTTCTAAACATATAATATATTTAAATCAAATGGATATCTTTTTTATGTTGTTCAACTTTTGATCTTAGTTTCAATAATTCTTCTACAATTAGCGATAATTTAATTCTTCTACAATTAGCGATAATTTAGTATGACTTAAGAAGGAGTAACATTGGTAGGTTTAACTAAATAAGATTAGGCCAACATAGAACATAGTTTAGTAATAATAATTGATACTCTTGAATTTTGTCAAATAACGTAATAATTAACGTAGAAGTTTACTTGAATTCAGTCTAAAAAGAGATGAAATGTGAAATGAGCTATTGGTTTTTAAAAGAGGAATTAGAACAAAATTAAATAGACAGTAGAGAAGCAAACTATCTTAAAAATTGAGGAAGAAGACTTTTGTGACAAAATTAGGATGTTAATTGCCACTTTAATTATTATGTCATTACAAATTATGTCATGTCAACTTTTTGTTCAAAATATGAATAGGGATGTTCATGGGCGAGGCGGTAACGGAAAACTTCCCCGTCTTCATCCCCACCCCTCATTTAGTCTCTCATCCCCATTCGTAGGGTTAAGGTGGAGATTCCCTGCAGGAATTCATAGGGATCAGGGTTCCGGTAGGAAATCAACCCCATTTATTCTTTTTATTATTTTAATTAATTTAACTTTTAAATTATTTTTTAAAATTATAATTAATTGCTTACTCCCTAGGTATTAAAACTCATTTACACTATTTATTTCCCTTCGAAGTAAAAATTCTTAAAACGCCTAATAAAAAAATATAATATTTCATTTTAGCCTAATTATTCATATAAAATGTAAACATATCATAAACATCTGGTAAATTCGAATAGATGGGGCAGTGAATGGGGATGAGGACTGAAATCATATTCTTCATCCTTGTTCCTATTTAGATGGTAGGATAAAATTCCCCCACGACAGAAGGTCCATTTATATACAATAATTGCATTGTAGTTGATATAGTTTAGTGATAAAAGTACAATTCGTTGGACATCCAATTCCTCTTCTTTCTTTTCCAGCTGATCTCAAACCAGAGCTACTCCTTGTTCAGAGTCATCAGATGAAGAAAGCCAACACATCAAACACATATATTTATGGACCTAACACATACTATA